AGTGATCATCGAGGTGCTTGTCTTTTCCTTCTCCCCTTTCCCATGTTTCCACGTTAAAGGCTCCTTTGAGAGGTTAGACTGCAGTTGTTCTCGGTACCTTCTCACCCTCAAGCCTCTTTCCTAATTAGATGCTGACAAATCTTTCCTCTGACTGTGCCCAGGCAGCTGATTTTTATATGATTCTGATGTTAATAATCATCAGCAGTTTCCTGTCTGCTAGGCTAGAGTCAGTTTCATTTTTGTAATGTTTGGTGCCTTCCAGCTCTCTTCTGGAAGAAAATACTCATACTACAGGAGGCTCCTGAGTTGTTTTGCTTTCTTTCATTTCTCAAAATATATTTTCTGAAAGCTTTTGCTCCACCTTTTATATTCCACTTCTCATGGATGTCACTGAGGATCAAAGAATAGGGGGTTGTTGTTCAGTCATATCCCACTCTTCATGACCCCCTTTGGGGTCTTCTTGGCAGAGACACTGGATCGGTTTGCTACTTCCTTCTCCAGCTCATTTGACAGATGAGGAAACTGAGGCCAACAGGGTAAAGTGACCTGCCCAGGGTCACACAGCTAGTAAGTGTCTAAGGCCAGATTTGAACTCAGATCTTCTTGACACCCAGGGCTCTATCTATGAAGGTGGACTTCATAGAATTTCTCTTCTCTACTTTTCACAATAGATGTTGATGCCTGAGCTGTGGTTATCTTTCAGAGGTGTTTTTGTTTGTGCTCATTAGAGCTGTGCAAGATGAAATTAGCTAGGGGCAGCTAGGTGGCGCAATGGATAGAGCTCCAGCCTTAGAGTCAGGAGGACCTGAGTTCAAATGTGACCTCAGACACTTGACACGTACTAGCTGTGTGATCCTGGGCAAGTCACTTAACCCCAATTGCCTAGCCAAAAAGCAAAAAAAAAAAAAAAAAAGATGAAATTAGCCAAATGTCCCCAGATATTCTGCTTCCTATTGCCTGATTTACACCTTTGATTGATTCTTTAACTCAGAATTTATCCCACTTGATAAAGGTGCAGGGCCTGGCGCGTCCTCTTAATTACATTAATACATTCAGAATGAGAATTTCAGTAGAGGCGTGGCTAGGCCAGGGTCACACAGCCAGGATATGTCAGACTTGAACCCCAGTCTTCTCAGCTCTAAGGCCAACTTTTAGCCACTCTACATACCATGCTGCCTCTGTTTTCATAGAAAAGTGGGTTATTTGTACTATTTTACTGCCATCACTGTGGAAATAGAAGAGGGCCTCCTAGGACTAAGGACTTTTAAAAATTTTTCATTGTTTCATGGGTTGCCATGGGAGAAGAATTCATTATTTCATGACCAGCCTACTGGTGGTGAATTTAATCATATTTAGAATGAGGACTGCCTGCCTGCCTGCCAGCCAGCCTTGGTCATAATTGAATCAAATATGGTTTCGTGGGCAAAACACCAGAGCTCAGCCAGGGATCAGTGGCCTAGATGGCACAGTAGATAAAGCACTAGACCTGGAATCAGGAAGACTTGAGTTCAAATCTGGCTTCAGACACTTATTAACTGCGTGACCTTAGACAAGTCACTTAACTTCTGTTTGCCTCAGTCTCCTCATTTGTGAAATGGGGGTAATAATAATACTTAACCTCTCAGGCTTGTTGTGAGGATCAACTCAGATAATAATTGTAAAGCACTTAGCACATAGTAGGTACTGTGTAAATGCTAGCCAGTATAACGATGATGATTGTGGTATGGATGTTCAGATTTATCCATAGGCCTAATTAATGCCAGCTCTAACAACAAGAACAACATGATAGTAATCATAGGCTGAAGGAGTGGTGTGGATTTTTGGATTTATCTGTAGGTTTCGCCTAGGAAGCAGGAAGCTGAATGGAGCCAAAGCTATAGTCTTGTCAATTTCCAGAGAAAGAGGATGCCATTTTGGAAGTTGGGAGGTGGGTTGGGTTGGGGAGTCATGAAGAACGAACCCTACACTTTGAGGGGGTCTGGTGACACTGTTCATCGGGGGGTCTGCTTATGACGTGTCAGAGCTGTCCCCTTGGAGAGACCATTATCGTTTCTTGGCATGAGACAACTAGCGAAGGTTCATCCAGATGTTAGTTGTTCCAAGGGCAGGTCACTCTCTCCCTTCCACCCTGAAAAGTATAAATTCTTAACCTTGGGCCCATAAATTTAAAAAGAAATCTGTATCTTGATAACCATATTTCAATATAATTGATTTCTTTTGTAATCCTGTGTGTTTTATTGTATGCATTTTGAAAACATGCTTCTGAGAGGGTGCCCATAGACTTCACCAGACTAGACCGCCAGAGGGGTCCAGGACACAAAAAGAATTCAGGCCCCCAGGTCGAGAGTCCTGGAAGTAACTCCTGTCAGTCAGATATTCTGCCCCTGAATTTCCCTGACCTGGGAAGCCAGGACCACAAGTATTTGAGATCAGATCTCAAAGGCTCCTGAATAGAGAGCTGGAAGGAGCCTCAAAGGCCTCATTTTACAGATGAGGAAGCTAAGGCCCAGTGAGGTCAAATTTGTCCACGGTCATATAAGTAGTCAATAGCAGAGGCAGAATTTGAATCCAAGTCCTCTGGCTACAAACTCAGGGTTCTTCTCCCTGTGCTTAGTGGTAACATCTGCTAGAAAATCATCCCAGTGACGTGAAGATGTGAAAATAAAATATTGATTACCAAGTAACCTAAAAGTTGCATTTGGAAATGGAAGTCTTTACAAAAGAAATTAGTTGAATCAAAAGGTCCCTTAGTCCTTACTGATACACACAGTTGTTATTCTCTTCCCAAATCTGCTCACTCCACTGGCGCCTGGGACGCCTTAGTTTCCCCAGAATAACTAGTGTTAATGTACAGTCACACTTACAAGCAGCAGCTTTGGGTAGTTGCATCACCCCTCTCTGGGCCTCACTCAGTTTCTTCATCTGTGAAATGAGAGAGTTGGGCTAAATAAACCTCATCTGCCTCTAAACCCTATGACCCAGTGACCCGAGTTATTATGTCTAAGTTCCTGATACCCTTTGTAAAGTTTGTGGATTGATTCCCACTGCACTCACCACTTCTGATTTCAACTGAAAGTGACTCCTTTTTAGTGATGGGAAAGAATGAGATATTTGGAGAGTAGAAGGACCTAGGAGATTCAGGTTCATAAAATCCTAGGAACTTAGATTTAGAGCTGGAGAGAACCTTAAAGCCATCATTTTACAGATGAGGAAACTGAGGCATAGAAAAATTAAGTGACTTATCCTTGGTCCCACAGCTAGTTAAGTATCTGAGGTAGGATTTGAACCCATCTTTCTGACTCCCAGCCTAGCACTCTCTCCATGACATCATGCTGCCTAAATTCAGGTGAAATCATTACCGTGGACAGAGTATTATTTATATTAATGCTATATTGCTATGTTGATTTAATATATTAATGTTATTATTAACTTCATATTGGTCACAGTATAAGCCAGGAGAAAGCAAACATCCTGATTCAGGATCCCAGAAGGGCAGCCTGGGCCCCTCCTGGCTCAGGACTCATTCATATCCTTTGTCTCTGGGGATGCATTCCGGAGGGCCCCAAAATGTGCCATCACGTCGATGCTCAGCTTTGTGGAGTGAGCTTGATGGTCAATTTCTCAATCGCACATCACCTTCCCCAGCCAACTGGGAATGGCTCTAGACCCTTGACTGGATCCTGGTACTCTTAGCCACATACCTCCATAGCGCTATCATAAGACGATGGCTCAAATATGTAGCCCCTGAGGTTATGATTATTGTTGTATTGTTATTGTTAACGATGATTGATGGAGTATTTTTTTAAGAGCTTACTCCAGAACTGTGCTAAATACTAGAGATACAAAGATGGGTGAAAACAGCTCTTTCTCTCTAGGAGCTCACAGTCTAATTGGGGAGAAGACATAGAAAAAAGTAGGTACCTACAAGACAAGTGTGGAAGGTAACCTCAAAAGAGTAGGGGACTGGAAACAACCACGCCTATTAAGCCCTGACCACTTGTGCTAAGAACTGGGGAACCAAAGAAAGACCAGAAACTGCCTTTCTAATGGAGGAGACAACCTTGAGAACGCAGAAGATAAAACCAAGCAGACTGCCATTAATCATGGTGGCCGTAGCAGTGGGGAGAGACCAGGAAAGTCCTGTGGGAGGAAGTGGTGCTTGAGCTGAGCCTTAAAGACAGGCTGGGGGTTCTGAGATTCCTAGGCTGGGAGAGAGCATTGCAGGCATGAGGAACAGCCTATACCAAAGGCATGGAGACAGGGGCTGGTGTGAACATTTACAGCACATATTAAGTAAGGTTTGCAGAGCACTTTATACCGTCATCTCATTTGAGCTCACAACAGCCCTAAACATACTATTATCCTGATATGGTCAAAGAATGTTGGATTTGGGGGTCTGAGAACCTGGGTTCGAATCCTGACTGCCACTTACTATCTGTGTAACCTTGGGTAAATCCCTTCACCTCTCTGTACCTCTCTGGGCCTCAATCCCTTCACTTGTAAAATGAAGGGAGTGGATAGTCTAGGGTCAGCAAACTACAGAATTAAAAACTATTCTTAGCTCTTGGGAGCTAAGGCCCAAAGGGCCTTAATACAAAACCAGGCCCAAGGGCCATAATTTACTTAGCTTTGGACTAAGTGAACACAACAATCTCATACTGTGTGGTCCTTTGATCCCCATGTTACAGATGTGGAAACTGAGACTCTATAAGAGTGAAATGCCCTGCCCTGGGTTAGTTAATACTACCTCATCACTGCTCCTTTTTTTAACTTCAGAAGTTGATGAAGCCATACAGTTCCTTCACTGAGCCCTGTTCAAAGCAGAGCCTTGAAAACTCTGGCATCCACATGGGAACGGAGCCCTAGGGGGAATGAGGATTCTGTGGATCCTTGGAGTAGGACTTCCCGAGGAATGAGCTGGGGAAACTGCCTGCTGCCTAATGATTTTTTTAACCTTTCTACTCACAAGCTGGTTTGTTGTTTTTTTTTCTCCCCCTCAGGTGGAGGCGGGGAAAGGGCTGGAAATGAGGAAGCTGGTTCTCTCAGGATTCCTAGCCAGTGAAGAGATCTACATAAACCAGCTGGAGGCATTGTTGCTGGTGAGTGCACTCTGGTCCTCCGGGCCCCTCTGGGCCCCTCTGCAGTCGGATTGTCTGGGCTACTTTGCTTTTGGATGTGGAATGTAGCTTCAAGAGGGGCGAGGGAGAGAGGAGGGGCATTCCTCTACCCTGTGAGTCTCCCTCCATTCATTCTCTGTCTGACTGGCCGGTTCCATACACACACCTAGGATGGGCCTGTGCCTCGTGTCCCCAGTGCTTTTGTTCCCCCAGCCCTAGGAAGCCAAGCTCCTCTTTGACGAAAAGAGTGGAAGGGTGGGTAGGCCAGGTCTCTCTCTCTGGCTGAGCCAAGGCTGTGCAGCAGATGGACAAGTCGCCCATTCTGAGGCTTGGGGGAGCCAGAGGAGTGGCCGAGGCTTCAGCAAGTCTGCCTGGCTGCCCTTTTCTTCCCCATCCACCCACTGCCCCTTGGGGCTTTAGGCAAATGGCTTCATCTCCAAGTGCCCATGCATCCTCACCTCTAAATGGGCATGCTCCCTACGCTCACCCGGTCTACTTGTGATGACTGGATGAGTCAATAATTAGGAGAACTTTTTAAGAAGTTACAAGCACCATCCTAATTTGTTTTTGCATCAGGCCAGTGATTTCATTGATGAAATGTCTTCCCTGAAAGCTGCTGCCTCTGTCACTGAATGCCAACTTATGATGTTCGAGCATTTCCCAGAGCACCCTGGGGTTTAGCAGCCTGGTCCCACAGCCCGTGAAGGTCAGAAGCAGTGTATGAACTCAGCCATGAGGACTCCAGTTCAGCATTCACAGCACCACCCTGTCCATACTGATGGGTGGCAGGGGCGCTAAAAGAGGTGTTTTAGCTGTGCCCAGATGCCATGGAGAATCATGGAGGCCAAAGTCATTCTCTGCCTCCGGGGTTTTCAGCGTAAGACATACAGTGATGACCAAAAGGATAGTGATAATCAATAATAAACGCAGAGATAGACTGACAGACGCCAGTTCCTAATTGGGAGACAGAGCGGGCACTTGTTCTGTGTGCACTCTGGGTTCTTGGGAGGAGGGTGCCCCGTGAATCACAGGGGCTACTGTCTGCCCCAGGGCATAGCTGAACGGCAGGGGGCGGGTACGGAGGTGCTGGCTGGCAGTGTTGTCCAAACTGCTCTTAGTTTGGGGAGCCCCAGAGACTTCTCTGAATGTTGGTTTGCCAGAGGGGACCTTAGAGCTTGTTTTCATGGGATCATCGATTTCCAGCTGCAAGGGGCTTTTGAGATGTCATTGAGTCCAGCCTCCTCATTTTCTAGATGGAGGCCCAAAGTCCCATAGTGTAGTGTTTGAGGTGGGATTTGAACCCAGGCCTCTCTGAGGCCTAAGCAGGGCCTTCTCTACTTCTCCCACTGTCTCTCATGCTGCTTAAGCCATGGCTTCATAGAACTGGGAGGGATTTGGGTCCAAATTTATTTATCTTACAGATGAGGAAACCCGAGGCTCATTAGGCAGCATGGCACAGTAACAAAATCACTGTCTCTGGAGTCAGAGAATCTGGGTTCAGATATTGCAATTTGTGACTTGATACTTGAGTGACCTTGGGCAAGCCATTTAAGCTCCTTGGGCCTCAGTTGTTTTATGTGATATATAAAGAGAGAGAGAAAAGAAAGGAAGGAAGGAAGAAAAAGAAAGAAAGGAAGAAATAAAGTTGTACTCAGTGGTTTTTGAGGTCCCATCCTGGTCCAGATCTCTGACCCTGTGGCTGTTTGGGCTTCACCCAAAGTCCCAAACTCACAGCCAGGTTGTCTGGCTCCAAGTCCGTCACTCTCTCCTTTGATCTGTCAAGTTTGGATAGATTCCCTCAGGCCTAACAGGAGGGGACAGTGTCCGTGGTGCTGGTCTGGCTCTGAGCGCATGACCTTTTTCTGAAGGGAGGTACGGCGACTTCTTTGTCCAAAGGGATCACTCGTAGGTCCTCCGCTCAGTTCTCGTCTGCCAACAGGTCTCTTTCCACTTCTCTGGCCCTGTCAGATGGCCTGTGGAGAGGTCATTTTATTTCCTGTTTTTCTTACCTCACATCCCCCCCATAAGAGCTAGAGGCCACTGTCCTAGTTCATTTCAAGTGTCTCTTTCTAAGACAGAGGCAAGTGACTCCCTCTCCCCCTGCTTCCCCCGTTCCTTGCTCTCCTCCTCTCTCTCCCTCCCTGTCTCTCTCTCTCTCTCTTTCTTTCTCTCTCTCTCTTTCCCTCCTTCCTTCTCTCTGTTTTCCCCCCTTTCTCTCACACTCTCTCCCCCTCTCTCTCTCTCTCTTTTTCCCTCCTTCCCCCCCCCCCTCTCCCTCTCTTCCCCTCCCTCCCCCCCCCCCCCCCCACAGCCCTGGATGAGTGAGCAGTGCCTCATCCTTCCTCCTCTCTCCAGCCCAGCAGCCCCAATCACTGGTTGCTTGGCGGTGCCTGTGGTAAGGGAAGGTGGGCAGGTGTATGGTACAGGCTGCAGAAGCTTAGCCAGGACCCTGGCAGCCAGAGCAGCCTAGCCATAAAGGGGAGGAAAGGACCTCGAAATTGAAAAGGGGCATCTCCCTCCGTTGTCGCCCACAGAGCTTGCGTGTCATTGGCCAGGTCAGGAGTAAGGGGTGGGATGTGTGCTTTTAAGGGGGAAGGAGACCAGACCCCCTCGGCCGGCTTTTTCTCCTCTGTCTTATGACGCTTTATGGTTTCTTCCCCCTCATTTCTACCTCCCTCCTCCCAGATGGTTTGAATGTTCTCTTCACATTTCCTGGTTATGAGAGTACTCTTGGTGCTGGGCGGGTTCGTACTTGTGTGTACACACACACGCACACACGCACACACACACATGCACACAGGCTCATGGGGAAATGAGTCCTTCCTTGTTTCTTTGTCCCTGCCCTGGGGTACAGGGGGATGGGGAATTTCTGGCTGTTTGGGGATTAAGTAATCTTGTGTATTCCTGGTTCCTGTTGAACTCTGGTTACAAATGTGATGGGGCAGGCAGACTGGATGCCAGGGGAAGATAAGAAGTGTGCATTTGAATACTGCAGCTGCAGTCAGCTAGGAGAGAGGGTGATGGCAGGGGGCCTCAGCCTTGGCCTCATGGGAGAGGATGAAGATGCAGAAACCTTCGACCTGGAGCTAAGACATCCCAACGGCTGGATTGTCTTGGAGAGCTGGGGGACCTTCCCTGTAGACACCATTCAGCCTCCAAACATCTTTTGGAAGAATCAGGCAATCAGCGAGCACTTATTAAAGTGCTCATTTTGTGCCAAGCACGAAACAGTCTCCAGGAGTATGCATTCTAATGAAGGAGACAGAATAGAAATAAACAAGTGTGTGCCCTGTAGATGGAAGGGAGTCTTCCAGGGCAAGGCTGTAGCCAGCTCAGGCTGGAAAGGGCCTCCTCTGGCAGGTGGAGTTTGAGCTGGGTCGTGAGGGAAGCCAGGGCTTCTCAGAGGCAGAGGGAGGAGAGAAAGCATCTCAGACATGGGGACAGCCAGGGTCCCTCCTGGTAGAGAGATGGGACACAGAATGTCCTTTGTGAGAAGCAGCAAGAGGGTCAGCAGAGCATCTATAGTAGGGCAGGGAAGGAAGGAGAAGGGAGGGAGGGAAGGAAAGGAGGAGGGAGGAGGAAGGAAGGAAGGGAGGGAGAGAGAGAAGGAAGAAGGGAGGAAAGGAAGGAAGGAGAGAGGAGGAGGGAAGGAGTAAGGGAGGGAGGGAGGGAAGGAAGGAAAGAGAAGGAAGGAAGGAAGGAAACGAAGAAGGGAGGAGGAAAGAAGGGAGGGAGGGAAGGAAAAAGGAAGCAAGGAGGGAGGGAGGAGGAGGGAGGGAGGAGGAGGAAGGACTTTACAAATTTTATGTTATGTTACATATTAAGTGCTTTACAGTATTAGCTCATTTGATCCTCAGCCTGGAGTCCAAGCTTGAACCAATCATTTTGCCTCTCTGGTCCTCAGTTTCTCCCCTTGTAAAACTGGTGAGGGAGATAATCTTAGCTCTTTCCCTGCCTTGATGGGAATGCTATAAGGGTAAAAGTGAGATAATAGCTACAAGAGTGCTGGAAAACTTAGAAGATGCAGAGGAACCCTGTTATGGCCCTTCCTTTCCCTTATTCCCATCAGTAATTGCCTTGAAAGCCCCAAGGTGTGTCCTGCCCTCCCACCCCATCCCTTTGCAGGAGTGGGAGGTCCACAATGGGGTACATTGCACATATTTTCAAACTTTTTTAATGTATAGATAAGTTATACTGAATTTTTCCCCTTCTTTTTCTTTTTGTCTTTAAAGATATTATTTGTTATGTAGGATTCCTCTCTGGGTGGGAGAGGGTTACTAGGGGAAATTATAATGATGTTAAAAAAGGAGGGGGGGTCATCAATAAAAACTGTAAAAAGAAAGAAAGAAAGGAAGGAAGGAAGGCACCAGATCCCAGGTTTGCAGGCCCAGCTGAAGGTTCTCTCCATGCCAGCCCCAAAGGGGAACTGTCTGAGGCCCTTCGAGCCCCTGCTCCTGCTTCTTTTGGCCGTCCCTCTGCTGTTCTCCAGAGCGATTAGCCTTGAGGCCTGCTCATGTGAACAGCAGTTGGGACAGCCTCCACTTCTTCCCCTTTCTCCCCCAGACGAGGATGTCTATGAGGAACCGGGACTTTTGGCCTCTTAGCGGTGCTGTGTGGGGAGATTGGTGAGAGCTTCCGTGGGGGCTTGGGTGGGGGGAGGGCATACATTCTCTCTTGTTCCCCATCCCTGCAGGTGGGTGGCAAAGCCTTCCCTACTCAGGTGGAGACTGAACTGAATCTGGAGACTTAAAACGCTAATTCCTCTTGGCCCTTCCAATGACTCACCGGGTGATGAGGGATTCTCTTCATTGGAGCCTGGGTAGTGGTTTCCTCCTTGTTCCCAAAAGAGAAGAGGGCTCCTGCCCCTCCTCCCAAGAAGTGTGGTCTTCTATGAGCTCACAGACCAGACCTTAGGTGATAGAAACATATAGGCCTTGTGGGCTGTGTGTATATGTGTGTGTGTATGCGCGTGTCTGTCTGTT